AGTAACCTTCCCCAGGCTAACGGTGCCCTTGCCTGGGGGTTCGGTATTTTCTTCATCGTCCATCTTTCAAGTTCTAGATTGAAAGAATAAGAAGCAAGTTCCGCTTTCATTTTAAGCCAGGTAATCTTCCAAAGTGCAGGCTTATCCTTTAAATCCCAGTAGTCTTTTGTTGAAGCAGGATGGGTTATATAAAAAAAAACTGATTCCTGGTTCTTCAGGATATTGCTGATAAAAGAGCACGGAAGAGAACCCATGGAATAACAGGAAAAGTATCACGATTTTTCATTCCTGCAATTTTCCCTCTACGAATAAAAATGACTGGCTTTTGTTGAAGAAAGAAAAACATGAACGACGGACTCGTGATGATAAAACGAATAACGTTTGAATTACTGTAATGGTGTGCTATCATTTTGTGTCTCAAATAAAATAAATGTTCTCAAAATTGAAACCAGTGGCGTGCTGTGAATCTGTGAAAAGCTTAGCTAATCGATTTTCATCATGTATTTCCGCCGAATCTTTCAAGGGACTGAAAATAGATTAATTTTTTTTACGGGAGTTTTAAAACGGAAATTTTATCGTACCACTACTTTATGACGAAAACTCTCCCTGATTCAACTTGAGCTCTTTAAATTCCATTGTTTGTATTTCTTAAACATTCTTCAAATGTTTTTTTTTTTTTCAGAAAAGAAGCTCTGGGTTCTATGGGCAATGATGCGCCTCTTGCTTGTTTGTCGGAGTATCAGCCGCTGATGTACGACTACTTCAAGCAACTGTTTGCTCAGGTTAGTACAGCATATAAAACTTTTATTGAAGAGTTTGAAATGTTTTCACTTAGCCTTCCTTTTTCTTCGGTCCAAAAAAGTTATCAGTCAAAATTTTGTTATGCATTCAACTCTCTCCAAGTCGAATTTTAAGGTACCGTATTATCGAAACAAATTCGCGCTCAGGAACGAAGCATTTTTGTTTGACGGAAGAAAGAAGATTTACAGGAAATTGTAATTGGTGATATGGGATTTAAAATTTGTAAAAAATGAGTTGACATGGTGCTGACCTTTGAGGCAAGGGTTCAGGTGCCCAATTAATCGTTCACTTCCTCTCAAAAAACATCAGGCTAAATTTTTATTAATTTTTCTTTCCTGCCTCAAAAAAAATATTAGCCAAAAGGCCTTCAGAAAATCTGAGCTTCGGAGGTTTGAGAGGGAAAATACTCGAGTTAGAGAGGACTTTAATTCATTGTTCCCTTGAGAATTCAGAGAGGGACTTTTAAAAAATTCGACCTAGGGAAGTATTTGACGTATGAATGTTACGAGTTATCAAGATTCAACTGTATTTTGTCATGATTTTTTTTGTTTTATCAGGTTACCAACCCGCCCATTGATCCATTCAGAGAAAAGATGATCATGTCACTGGCTGCTCCGATCGGACCTGCTGCGAATTTGCTGGAACCAGCTGGAGAACAGTGCAAAAGATTGTATCTGAAACAGCCGATTATTTCTGCAGAACATTTGGAGTTGATCAAAAACACTGATTTCCACGGATGGAAGGTGAGTTTGAAATACTGTATTGAAAAATAAGCAGTTCAGCTTTTATGTGCGAATTTGTGTGCATGACGATGCATTTCATTTTCTTGTGAACTACCATTTGACGTAGACCCACGAAATCATAATGAATAATTATCACAGTTATGTGCATTTATTACTTAATCAAACCCTGGGAAGGACATGACCAAAATTAATTAAATGGATTTTTGCACCCGGATCTACGATTATTATGATGCAATGCCGAAATAAATGAGTGAATTAAATTGTAACAGTGAAATGCAGTAAAATCTTGTTACAACAAAGCCATAATTTAATTAAATATAATAACATTGTGGCTAATGGGCGTTGACCTGAAAAATGAATTTCTTGTAAGCAATTACTTGTTATGAAGAGATTCTGGGTTGAGTTGTGGAAAATTTGGGAATTCAAGTGACACCTACTTGCTGAATCTATAAGGAAGTTTGATGTCTCTGGTAAAAGTGCTTATTTCATTCATTTGTTCCTATATTCTAGTATGAGTTACGTTTTTGCCTCTAAATATTTGAAAAATTATTCTTGGAATTTATATTTTCTCTTAAATTTTTCAGACGGAAGTTGTGGATACAACATATCCAATTTCGGACGGTATCCCTGGGCTCGTCAAAGCCATCGACAGAATTTGCGAGGAATCATGTTCAGCTGCTAAATCAGGATTCAACTTCATTGTTTTGTCCGATAGGAATGCCAGCAAAGACAGGTATGATCAATCCATATTACAGTATTTTAAAATACTGTCTACGAAAGAATTTTCGGCGTACGCTCACAACTTTTCTCTCTGATCCGGTGACGATTGCATCAAAAGGCAGATGTCGCTCAAACCTCGGCCAAAAGATCTTTCAGCGTCTCAATCGCGAAAAATATAGCCTCTGTCGCATTTTTCTGGCTTCATTCTCACAATAATGAGTACTTCTCAAGTTCTCATGATTCTAGCGTTTATCTTGTTTTCGGAGAATGTTTGAGACGTTCGTGGGAAATAAAATAAATACTATTTGACGAATATACTACGGTTGATGTACCTTAGCACAACGTACAAAATAGCTCCTGTGCGAAGTTTCCTGTGATGTAAAGTTATGCTTTTCGATGTAGAAGAATTCTGAATTTCATATAATATGAAAAAAAATCTTGAAAATAAAATGTGATCACGATTATTGAATGCTTTGACGATATTTTTGCTATCGCAGGGTTCCTGTAAGTGCATTGCTTGCATGCGGAGCCGTTCATCACTACCTAATTGAAGAGCGTCAACGAATGAAAGTGGGCTTGATTGTCGACTCCGGGGAACCGCGGTAATTTGAAAACTAAGTTAGAAAAACTAAAATTTGGGGAAATTATGAAGTTTTTTACTTGTTTATTTCAGTGAAGTGCATCACATTTGCGTGTTGCTGGGCTACGGATGCGATGCCATTTGTCCTTACTTGGTGTTTCAAACCATGACGATTCTCAAGAGCCGGGGATTGATCGATAAGTACCTTACGGTTGAGAATATGTTTGAGGTAAATAGCTGATTTTTTCATTCCCGAACTTTCTCCACATTTTTTGAAGCCTCATTTAAGAATACTGTATTCAGAAAATCCCTGTGAAAAATAAAAGAAACTCGCGAACTGTTGTCGAAACATTTGCAAGAAATCCCCTCGCTTATGTTCGAAGACATTTTTCGGAATTGAAAATTTTTCATTTGTGTCCTTGAAAAGATGTTCGGTCTGTCAGAGGAAAACAACTCTATTTCCTGAATTTTTCTTCTATATTTTCCAAAAATAAATATAACAAGCAATTGCGAACCCTTATATTGAAACATTTTCAAGAAATTCCCTCGATTTTGTTCGAAGAAGTTTTTCAGAAATCAATATTTTTATCTCGTGTCCTTGAAAAAATGTTCATTCTATCAAAAAATGGCCGACAATTCGGGGCTCTATTTCCTGAATTTTTCTTCATTATATTTTCTGAAAATAAATATAGAAAAATAATTGCGAACTCTGACCGGAACAATTGCCAGAAATCCCCTCGCTTATGTTCGCAGACATTATTTTTCGGAAAATCCGTTCCTCTCGTCTTCGAAAAAAAGGGCAGATCCTTGATGAAAGCAGCTCTATTTCTTAAGTTTTTCGTCTAAAAAGTCTGCCAAAATCACGGAAAGTTTTCTGAACATTTCGTGTGCTGTTGTAGAATTACGTTTCCGCGGTGGAACGAGGACTCTCGAAAGTTATGGCGAAAATGGGAATCTCAACAATCTTGTCTTACAAAGGAGCGCAAATCTTCGAAGCTGTTGGTCTCGGGGATAATGTTGTGGACAAGTGCTTCAAGGTAATACGATTTTCTCCGTGGGTATACACAGCATGTATAACCCACGCAAAATTCGCAAGCTTTCTTTTATCCTCGTGCTGAAAATATTTTCGTAGAATTCTGCGTCAAGACTGGGTGGACTGGATTTTTCAACAATTGCTGCCGAAGCCTTGGATCGTCACAGGCTTGCCTTCGATGACCTGGAGTGCGATAATTACATTCTGAGGAACCCCGGGTTTTACCATTGGCGAAACGGAGGCGAAAAACACATCAATGATCCGATGTCGATTGCGAATCTTCAGGTTTGTTTTTAGTCCTCACTCTCAGTACCAAAATATTTCAAAAATAGTTTTCAGTACCATCCAATAACAGGTTGATTTTATTTATTTTTTTGGAAAAACGGCTTAGATTATTTGTTATCGCGTTTTTCCAAAAGTCCCAGTTTGAGAGAAACCCTCGGTCACGTTGCTCTTGCTTGGGTCAGTGATTCAGGCGACACCTATCTGATGCTTCAAGAAGCAACTTTCATCGTATATCGAAGTCGCCTAAGCTTAATTAAAATTAGATCACGCCATTAACGAAAAATAAACCTTAGTCACGTTGAATATAAAAAGATAAGAAAATTTAAAGCACATTATTATTGAAGAAACCCATGTCTGGTGGATTTTGTTAAGGTTGCAGGCGACACCTATTTGACACTCCGCAGAGCAAGATTGAATGTTCTGCAATGACATGCATAAAAAACTCGCGTTTGCTTGATTAAAATTAGATCATATCAGTTCTGGAATGATTAACATTCGTGCTACTGATTTAAAAATGAAAATAATTTGAGGCGTTTGATTTTGGGAGAAACCCTCAGCAGCAATTTCGTAGATTTTGCCCGAGGTCATGGATGAAGGCGACATCTACCTGATATTACTTGAAGCAATGGTAATAATTTAATAAATGTTTTCGGGATGAATATTTGATCATACGAGTACTGGAAAAGTGAACATACCGTTTAATGCAAGAAAAGATGATTTGTGATGCATAATTTTGAGAGAAACACGCATCACTAAGGTCGATTTCGCTTCGGTCAGCCTTTATAGGTGTTCAGGCGACACCTACCCGACACTTCTGAAAGCCAGTTCGATCTTTAAACCAGTTCAGAGGACATCTGTGTAGTTTCTGCACCTTAATCATCATCCTCATCTTTCTACAGGAAGCTGCCGGGCGGAACAACAACCAGGCCTATGCCAATTTCGTCGCCAGTACAATGGACTCAGTTCGCAAATGCGCTTTGCGAGGCCTGTTGGAACTGGATTTCGATGGAGCTGGCAAAAACGGGAGACCCGCACCCATAAGCATTGACGAAGTCGAGCCAGCCAAAAACATCGTCAGACGATTTTGCACGGGGGCCATGAGTTTCGGATCCATTTCCTACGAGGCTCACACGACTCTGGCCATTGCCATGAACCGAGTGGGTGGCAAGTCCAACACCGGCGAAGGTGGGGAAAACCCGGATCGATACAAGAGCCAGGTAATATGGGTTTGCATTCCTTTGTTTTCTGTATATATATATATACAGTACAAGGAGGAATTGAACCAGGCTTCATGTATAAAGCTTCCAAGGGTTTCCCTGTACTAATGTTCAGCTTCTCGTATGATGCGCGGGGAGTTTTCCTCTGGGTTTTATTTCATGTTTTCAATTTTTCGAAATTTCAAAAGTTGCTTTAAAAAAAATTGGAAAGAAAGAGGATATATACAGTTGAACCACTTTCAGTCAAACGTCAAGGGGCCAGCAAAAAAAATCGATAGAGAAACAAGCATTATTGGGGAAAAATAAAAAATTACAGAAAATTGTTATTGATCATATTCAAAGCCTTAAAATGTTCTTATATGAGTTGACAGGATGCTGAACTTCGAGGCAAGGGTTCATTTGCCCGATTAATCGTTCACTTCCTTTCAAAATATGTCAAGTTACATTTTTATTGCTTTTTTCTTCCCTGCGTCAAGAAAATAATAGCCAGAAGCCAACAAAAAATTAGAGTTATGGAGGTTTGAGAGGAAAAGCTCCTTGAGATAGAAGGGTTTTTAATGCCTTGTTTCTTGAGGAATTTAGACAGGGACTTGAAAAAAATTCGATTTTGGAGAGGTTTGAGTTATCGAGGTTCAACTGCTGTATTTTACGTTAAAATGTTGCAAGTGTACCATGAGTCATGGGTAGTCCACGGATAACGAAACTGAACCATTCCATGTTGAGTTTTGTACGTCAGAAAACGATTTTCCTTGAGCTTGATTTAATTGTCAAATAATTTGTTTGTAAATTCTCTTCAGGACCCGATGTTCAACAAAAGATCTGCTATTAAGCAAGTTGCCAGCGGACGATTTGGAGTGACAGCTACGTATCTCGCCAATGCGGACGAGTTGCAAATTAAAATGGCACAAGGCGCGAAACCCGGAGAAGGTGGCGAGTTGCCTGGCTACAAGGTGGGGTTTTTTTCAATTTTTTGCATTTATTTTTAGTTCAGCGTGAAAGTTGCGTCGTGGCTTTCAAGACATTTCCTTCGACTTTTCGCCAGAATAAATTTCCTCGAAGAATCGAAAACATGACGAATTTCTCACTGCAGTAAAATCTTATCATAAAAAAGAGTAATGTTTCCGTCCTAACAATTTTCAATGTCTCAGGAGAAACTAAATTGAGTATATGTTTTTTAATTATGTTTTTAAAATGCAGCGTGAAGAACGGAATTTTGGTAATATTTGTGCTAATGCGAAATCGCCCTGCTTATTGAGGTTGGCAGAGCTCAACAAGTTTTTTTTTCGAAGGCTTATTATTGAGTAGCTGAAAGATCTATGCAAAAAATTCCTTCGAACATGTGCTTTATTTCTAGTCCTAGAAACGTTTGCTTATTTTTTAATTATTTTTTATTCTGCCATGTTCATGAAACAAGTTGCCCAAGTGAAATATAAATTTCCAATGCAGTGGAATATCTCAGAAAACTATGAATTTCCTTCGAAAATAAATTCACCATGTCAGCTATATTTGACTATTCACTTTATTTTCTTGGAAATTTGCCCAAAATGTTCTTGAGTCATTTCAGTTTGATTTCCTTGAAGTGTTATTCCATGCTAATATTTCGTCTTCTCTCGATAAAAGTGCCTCCTGGGTACCGTATAGACATTTTTTTAAATTTTTTGTTCGCAGAGAAATGATAATGGTGCACAAATTTGATGATGATTTCTTGATTTCGTTTTTTTTCGCTATAAAAAGGTGACAGAAGACATCGCATCGACGCGTCACAGCGTCCCTGGGGTCGGTCTCATCAGTCCGCCGCCACATCACGACATTTACTCCATCGAGGACTTGTCAGAGTTGATTTACGACCTCAAGTGTTCGAATCCGAATGCCAGGATCTCGGTGAAATTAGTGTCGGAAATCGGAGTCGGCATTGTGGCGTCCGGGGTCGCCAAGGGCAAGGCGGAGCACATCACTGTTTCCGGACACGATGGCGGCACTGGGGCGTCCAGTTGGACCGGGATCAAAGGGGCAGGGCTGCCCTGGGAACTGGGCATTGCGGAGACCCATCAGGTCCTGACCATGAATGACCTCAGATCCAGGGTCGTCTTGCAAGTAAGTTTATGTTTGTATCTTATATGAAAACACGTCGGAACGTTATGAAAACAACTCGCGTTTAAATATTTATTTTGAGGTCAAAAATTAATGTGTTGTTGACGTAATACTGTACATCGAAACCTTGTTACAACGAATTCACGAGGAAATGTGATGATTTTGGCATAATGAGGTTCCTGGTTTTTTGGTGCATTTAGGACTGAAAATTTGGGAGAAACGACAAGTAATTCCTTCAAATTGCCTCCATTGCAGAACGTATACCCGAAGAATCGTCCTCATTTTCTACACTTCGTTGATGAAATAGTTGGGGAAAATTCTATGCATCTAAAAATATTTCGATTATTTTAAACTTGTCCATGTTTCAATTTTTTTAATGTACCGAGATATGCAGTATTCCTGAAACATAATCTGCAACAAAAAATACACGCATAAGAAGAGCACTTCTTCATTTACACATGTTTCCTGAAATTTAGCAATATTTGTACAAACATACTTCTGATTTGATTAAGTTGAACCATTTCTGAATATAAATAAAAAAAATTGTGAAATGAAGCTAGAAAAATTCTGATGCTTTATATTTACTGCAACTTCATATTTTTTGGTAAAAATGTCAGCATTTCTATATCATTGGTGGATTTTTAATGCTGGAATAGTTTGATTTTCTATTTTTGTGCAAAAAATTAAATATTCGTAAGGTCCATGCTCAGATCAAGTTAAAGAAGTTTGTTTGACAATACTGGGATTACCAGTGAAGATTAGTTGGTTAAAATGAAATTTTTTGAACATCATGGGATCCAGAACAATTCTTTATGATTAGATTCATTGTAAGGGAGTTTGTTAAAGTGCGATTATAGATGAAAATTATTGTTACTAGAAGATTTTTCTGAAATTGATCCTATCAAGTAACTGCTGCTGGGGACCCATAAAAAATTTGTAATAACTTGATTCGTTGTGACAGAATTTCACTGTGATTTTGTATGGATTTGAATGCATTTCTCATGGACAATTACACAATAGAATCTCGTTAAAAGGAATACTATAATTCATTACAGTAAAATTGTTCTCAAGGTCCCCGACCAGCACTATAGCAACGATTTGAAAAGAGTCACTTTATGAAGAATTTTCCAGAGCAACGAAGTTATTTTACTGGTCCCAATGGCTTCGTGGTAACGAGATTTCACTGTATGAGTATAATTGTGTAAAATGATTGAAGGTTGCCGAATTTTGAAAATGTATCCGATTTATTTAATTTTTTCAGGCTGACGGACAAATTCGCACAGGATTCGACGTCATAGTCGCGGCGTTGCTCGGCGCAGACGAATTCGGGTTTTCCACGGCACCCCTGATAGTTCTGGGTTGCACCATGATGCGGAAATGCCACCTCAACACGTGTCCAGTCGGCATTGCCACGCAGGACCCGATTTTGCGCGCCAAATTCGCCGGCAGACCCGAACACGTCGTCAACTACTTGTTCTTGTTGGCGGAGGAAATCCGGGGATACATGGCCAAGTTGGGAGTGCGGAAATTCCAGGACCTGATCGGCAAAGTTGAGTTCTTGAAGCCGAGATCCGGTTTGGCGTACAAGGAAAAGACCTTGGACTTGAGCAAGATTCTGGTTCCGGCTTCCGAGTTGCGGAGCGACGTTTCCATTATCGGGGGATCTGTCAAACAGGTTTGTGTGGATCGAACGGGAATATTTCATTATCGCGAAGGATTTCCAGAGCAAGGGAAATTCCGTCGTAAGGATGGGTGCCATTTAAATATTATTGAATTTCTTCTCGATGTGTTGGTGTGACAAAGGTTTTGATATTTTATTCTTTGTCCTGTGTTTTCTTCTGTGCAATTGTACTGTACATCACGATGCTTCGTCATTGTTTAGGTTCGAAAGCCGCGGAAACGATATGATTATATAATACATTTATATATGGTAGGATTTTGAAAATAAAGAAAAGCCAACGATTATCGTTTATTTAAATGTTTTAGATTTTAAACAGGTGTGATATTTTGGAATTCCGCCTTTTCTTAGCCTTTTTCGTTGGAGAAAATATGGGTGTTCAACTCTCTTTTTTAAATAATTGAAATCGAGAAAACCTTGAATTATTTTTATTGCGCATAAACGTATGCCACTTGAACCTTCATGTCAAACAGTATTTGAAAGAAAAATTGGAACTTTTATTTTATTCAACGTGATATTTATCGCGTGATATATTAAATTGATCTGAATTTCGATGACTCATTTCGTTTTCTTTTGTTCTGAATTAGGATTTTGAGTTGGAATCGCGTTTGGATCACCAACTGATTGAACGTTGTGCTGGGATACTGAATGGAACTGAAGATCATGTCAAAATCGACATGGCTATTCCTAATTCTGCTCGTGCATTCGCCACAACTTTATCATACAATGTTGCGAAGTAAGTGAATTTATTTTTATGAAAGATTAAAAATATTTCCCTCTAAAGAATACCGCGCATAAATTTTCTGGACCGGTTGTCCGAAACTTATTTGTTGAATGGAGCTGAGCGATTAATTTTGCAGGCAAACTTTTGAATTATTTTATAAATTTGATGATATTACTACAGTATATCAATTTTATCTAAAAAAAAGGTTCGTTTGAATCTAAATTCGACCTTCCTAAATTTTAATTATTGAGGCACAGAATTATATTTGCAATGATATTGTTTTTGTACTTATTCGAAAATTTTTCGAACGATGTTTCCATTCAGCCGTGCCAAACTTGATATGGTGGGTAAAAATATGATTCAAAAGCATCAACTGAACAGAACTTCAGTTTGAGCCTAAATTCAGTTTTTGCTTCTGCTGCACAATATTTAAAAAGGTGAGATATATTGTTTGTCGATCTATCCGAAATGTGCGGAGCTACCTTGAGAGTAGTTTTTCAGCGCGTTGCACAACGAAGAGACGATTTTCTTTCTGCTAAATTCCTTTTAAATTAGACTTATCCCGGATTTTGGTATTTTTTGAAGTTATAAAGTTTTTTTCTTTTGATTTTAGGAAATTCGGCGAAGCGGGATTGCCGGAGAAATCGATCGAGATCAATTTGAAAGGATCCGCAGGACAGAGTTTCTGCGCATTCATGACGAAAGGAATTCATGTTACCCTCGAAGGCGACGCCAACGATTACGTGGGCAAGGTAAAATATGATCAATCATTGCGACAGAAAAAACCCCAAATATTTTCGAATTGAAATCTCCATTGTATCTGTATGATTGCGGCTCTCAAAAATACCCCAGTGTCATCCGTGTGATTAGATTATTATTGAGGACATTTGAGATTCGTGTGGAAAATCCTTCGAAGATTCGAAATGAGTTAAATGTGGGAAATTCGCTTTTGACTCATTGGCACTTTGCTTCCTAAGCCGAAGGAGCATGACTTGAATAAAAAAATACGGAAAACTGCCGTATTCTAGGTTTTCCGTAGTGACATCAAGGTTATCTGAGCTTTTCGACACGATAAATGCATTTTCACTGTGTTATAATTTTCGAAGACCTTACGTACGTTTGTATTTAAAAAAATTAAGCTTCGAACGGAAACGATTTTTGTACCAAACTACCTTTTGTATATATATACATAAACTTGTGAAAAGGAGCGGAGTTATAGGATTTATTTGTCCTGTAAAATACAGTCTTTTTTCTATTTTAAGAATCAAGTATTTTCATTCATTTGCTAATTCTTCTCAGTTTGACTGACGGGAAATTGTAATTGTGTTAATTAGAATCGACGGCGTCTTTCACTCGTGTAATTTCATTCATTCTAATAGTGTCCCTCTGCGAATCAAGTGTGCATGCGGTGCTTTTTCTGTGATGTACTGGAATTGCGTTAAATTCCGCCCAAAATTAATGAACCTGCAAATGAGCGAGTTAATTGTATCCGTAATTTAATACCCTCCAAGCGGACCCCGGAGTTCGTCATACAGGACGCATCAATTCGTGATGGATAGAGGAAATTTTTGTTGAAATGCAGAAACAAATTATGAATGTTTTCATCTTCCTGAAGAAGCTTAGATTAATTGTGTTTGCGGAAAAACTGAATATTTTGTTTTATCCCAGGATATACGAAGTCCAAATAAATGTACGCGTCCGCGGTACGATGAGGAACCCTCGTCGGGGTCCGAAGGGTTCCATTCAACTCATTTGCTGTTTTATCCTGATGTAGAAAATGCGGGAAAATTTGTAAATAGTTATAAGACCCTAGAAGTACAGTACAACATAATTCCACACTTGAAGAGCGGATGGAGAAAAGGAGCCTGATTTAATTTGTTTAAGGCCACGTGACGTCGAAATAACACGCTCCTCCGCGTAGATTCGCTTTGAGTTTTTGTTGATGTATATTTATAAAATTTTGACAGAAAATTTCTTTTTGAATTTCAGGGCTTGTCGGGAGGAGAGATTGTCATCCGTCCTCCTCTGGATTCGCGTCCAGGATTCAAATCGGAAGAAAACGTGATTGCCGGCAATGTGTGTTTGTACGGGGCAACGAGCGGAAAAGCGTTTATTCGCGGAGTCGTCGCAGAACGCTTCTGTGTCCGCAATTCCGGTGCTCTCGCTGTTGTAGAGGTGAGCGAAAGACAAAGAAGGGGAAATTCCACGAATTCCTTGAGAATTCTTGCCTCTTACATCATCGACAGATTTATTGAACTTCGGATGTCTGGTGTGTTGAAAATTTTCAGGACGCGCGCGTTATTGGCGACATCTACGAAAGGAAAAAACAATTAAATTCTGAAAATCTTGTCCTAGTGATTAAGTACTGCACAAGTATGTGGCCTGAAGGACATCAGATAGTTGAATATGAAAATAAGTATGCAGAAAATGCACAAAAAACACTGATAAACCCTGCTCCTAAGAACCTTGAGGTCGAATTTTCTATTTAGAATTGAAGCATCTTTTTAGTGATTAAATGGGCACATTGGATTCTTCAAAATTTTAGTAATCTGAGATGAAATTGTGTAGTACAGTGAAATCTTGTTACAACGAAGCTTTGGTATAAGAAAGCTCTTCTCAAGTCCTGAGAGCGCAGGTTAAAACAATCTTTTATGACAAACTTCCCAATTCCAGTATAGTAAACTTTTTGAGGAATGTTTATTAGATTCTTGTGGAGAAATTATTAAGGCAGGCACATCATCCTCACAGAATGAAAAGATTTTCACATCAACCTCCAAGAATGAAGTGAAAAAAAAAATATTGAAGAAACTGTTGGACTGTCCGATTGTACCTTTTAAAAAAATTCTGAGGATCACTCAAGATTTCAAGAAATGATGAAAAAAATCTCTGTATACCGGATAAGAGAGATCTAACTTATTTTTAGGCAGGTCTGATGTGAAAATGTTTTCCAGTCATTAAGTTTGAAGATCTCCTAAAAATTATTTATTATAACAAACTGTTTCTGAAGTCCCCAAAGTTTGTTGCAACAAAATTTTACTGTGCTAAACTAATGCGTATACATCAGGGGAAGATCAAGTAGAACTGTGAAGATGATGTACAACATTTGAAACCTGACATGACACATGAGTCAAGTCCCACAAATGTGGTACTTTGCCATAGTATCCACCCATGTATGCTGGATATTTCAGTACNCAGGCACATCATCCTCACAGAATGAAAAGATTTTCACATCAACCTCCAAGAATGAAGTGAAAAAAAAAATATTGAAGAAACTGTTGGACTGTCCGATTGTACCTTTTAAAAAAATTCTGAGGATCACTCAAGATTTCAAGAAATGATGAAAAAAATCTCTGTATACCGGATAAGAGAGATCTAACTTATTTTTAGGCAGGTCTGATGTGAAAATGTTTTCCAGTCATTAAGTTTGAAGATCTCCTAAAAATTATTTATTATAACAAACTGTTTCTGAAGTCCCCAAAGTTTGTTGCAACAAAATTTTACTGTGCTAAACTAATGCGTATACATCAGGGGAAGATCAAGTAGAACTGTGAAGATGATGTACAACATTTGAAACCTGACATGACACATGAGTCAAGTCCCACAAATGTGGTACTTTGCCATAGTATCCACCCATGTATGCTGGATATTTCAGTACTGCCCCGTTTTAAAAGTTTTAAAAATTTTGTCTTAGCAAGGAACAAGAAGGTTTGGTCTGAAGGAAATTTCAAACGTTATCATTTATTCCTTCTAGGGAGTCGGTGATCATGGTTGCGAGTACATGACTGGAGGACGCGTTGTTATCCTCGGACCAACAGGCAGAAATTTTGCAGCTGGAATGAGTGGTGGAATCGCATACGTTTACGACATTGAAGGGAAATTTAAGGAGTGAGTTTATCCCACTTTTCCCCCCGCTCGTCATCCACCAACTATATTTGTGATGCTTTATTTTTGCATATGAAGAAAATGCAACTCGAACATGGTGGACTTGCATCCCTTGGTCTTTGACGCGGACCTGATGGAACTGTTTTCCGTGTTGGAAGAGTTCCACGCTAAAACCGGCTCCGAAGTTGCCAAAAGCATTATTGACAAGTGGCCGAAGCCCTCCAAGAAATTCGTGAAGGTGAGCTACTTTTTTTTTCCCTGTGTGTTCACTCTGGTACTGCAAGTATATATTTCTCAAAATTGTGGATGAAGCCATGTACTAGAGAGAAACCTTGAGGAAATTCCTCCCTGCGGGGGATTAAGATTTGTGCGTCAACTACAGTACAGAACTGTATTTTTTTTCTGTAGAAAACTAATTCTGTAGTGAGTATCCGTCACTCATTAAAAATATTTTACAACCAGAATTTTTTTAGTGTACATAGGTGTCACTGGAAGTCTTGAAAGATTTTTGATTTTTACCTTGCAGAAAAAATTTTCATGCAATGAATATACAGTACGGTGTATTTTTTCAGTCTATGTGGAACTTCTTCATGTATGAACCACTTTGATCAGGATTTGTTTTAGTTTGGGTAGATGTCACTGGTAGTCACAGTAGCACTTTGATTTCAGTCTACAACAAAGAAACACTCTGGAAATACATTTATTTTTGCTTTGTAATTCAATCTCGAACAGCCAGATTGGTGGTGTGCAGGAAGAATATATAATTTTCTTTGAATTATCTTATTGAGGAGCAATTTTTTTCATTTTCCTGATCCAAGCAATTTTTTCAATTGTCTCAATGCAGTCACTGCCAATTTTAGATGTTCTTTGTTAGCCATCCGTGATCTCAAAAATTTGGAATTTTCAACTCCATACATTTTAAACACACATTATTTGAAGATTTCGTTTAAAAATTCAATTTCGTTTTGTAAAAATGCCCAAATATAGGTGCTGAGAATTATTCTCCGTTTTATTTCCCAGGTTTTCCCTCATGAATATCAAAGAGCTTTGCGACAAATGGAAGAGAAAAGAGCGTCGCTTTCCAGGCAATCGAGTGTGAAGAACCCAGTTCCACCGTCTCCCACTCTGATTCGGGCTGGTTCCGAAGTCCACGATTTGGCACCCATCAGAGACATTGAAGATTCAGCAGGGAATGATTCTGAGAAGCGCAGCAGCAAGAAGCAAGACAGGATGTTGGACAAAACTAAGTAAGTTGAAACAGAATTAAAGGTGTGTGTTTCATCGGGGGCTGCTCTGGAAAGATGTTCCTTTGAGATTTTAAAAAACAGTACTCAAGAGGAGAGTCTGTCTGGTTGAATTGGGATCGATGATGAATAATAATAATATAATTCTTTTAATTTTTCAAAGGGGTTTTGTCAAATACCGTCGAGAAATCGGCATTTACCGACCTGCAGAGGCAAGAATGGCTGATTGGGAGGAGATCTACAACTTCCGCCATGTTCGTCGGGGTTTGCAAGTGCAGGCAGCGCGTTGCATGGAATGCGGGGTTCCATTTTGCCAAAGTGGGCACGGGTGCCCACTGGGTAACATCATCCCGAAATGGAACGACCTGGTGTATCACGGCCAGTGGAAGGAGGCCTTGGAGACCCTACTGCAAACCAACAATTTCCCTGGTGAGAAAATTTCTTGGGTCTTGGCATTTTTGCGATTGGAGATTTCATTTGATGAGTGAAAACTTCATGTGATATAAGTCTTGAGCAGATGTTAAGTCTGGTTTCAGAAGTTTTCCAATACAGTACTATATTTTAGTTCCCTTCCTTTGATCTGGTTGGTTGGATTGAGAAAGTCATTTTTCTTTACAGAGGATTAAATGACTTTCTGGAAAAAATGTCATAATTTTTGCTAACCCAGGTTTAGTTATAGAGAAAGCACGTAGAGAATTGAGTGTGGTTGATTTTACATTGAATTTTATACACTGAGTGAATCAGGAAGATATCGTTGAGAGCTTGAGCATTTAAACTACTGTACCTAGTGTACCTCCAGTAGTTCGATTTTGTTGGGATTACTTAAAGGAAGCTCCCCACTGCACATGGTCTTTTCTAATACATGTGGACAGATTTTTCAAGGCCACTAATTTCCAGATCCCTCAAGTAGTTTTTACACAAGATGGTTTATCATTGTTCTGATCAGAGACTTCAAAAAATTACTTGCTGGGTGTACAAAAATTACTGATGAATACCATGCCAAGTTGAAGCTGTACTGATGTCTTGTTTCCAATTATTTATTGTCAATGTGTAAGAAGTTTCTGAATGTTTGTTAGACTCATTAGCCTGCTCAGATGTAAGATGTTCAGAGTAAGGCAGTTTAAGCATCCAATAAACATCTGCTTGAATGTTAGAAGTAACATCATTTCCCATACTTATTCAAGTTACAATTTAGTACAGTATTCTGTTGAATTTCTTTAGGCTCCTGTTCTCTATGAGAATCTCAATGTCTAACAACTGCATTTGTATTAATTCCAGAGTTCACTGGAAGAGTGTGTCCAGCCCCATGCGAAGGAGCTTGTGTGCTGGGAATCAACGAGTTACCAGTTACCATCAAGAACATCGAGTGCGCCATTATTGATCAAGCATTTAAACATGGATTGATGAAACCATGCATCCCGAAAATCAGAACCGGCAAAAATGTCGCCATCATTGGAAGTGGGCCTGCAGGTTTGGCTGCTGCTCATCAGCTGAATAAGGTTTGTGGAAATGATAACATACAGTACTACAGGCATATTGGCAAGTTTGTACATTTTCTGCTTGTGGAAAAGTAGTTGAGGCCGCATTTTCACTGGTTGAATATTTTCTTATAACAGTCATCATCCATAATAATACCTGTAACAGGCGTAATTAATTCTAAAAGGGAAGAAAGAATTTTCATCAAAGAACATTTTTTTCGTGCTCTCTGTCCAACCGGAATTATTTCAAACCGTAAATTCTGAAACTGATCATCGAGGTTGAAAAACAAACCAATGTTTTCTCGACAAATTTGGGAACATTGGAACGGGCTGAAATATGACTTGTAGATTTCAACTAATGTTTGTTTGGTAAATTTTCCAAAACCGACTCAACAACTTCGTTAGATCACCATAAAATACTTCATCATGATCGACTCATTAAAACTCGGTTGAAACAAATCCTGTGACGAATTTTTCATTAAAAAAATTGCCTGGGTCTATTAATTTTTCAGAACTACTATGCTTTGAACATTTCATTGTATCAAACTTATTTCAACCTGAAATTTCAGAACCCTATTGCTAATTTGTTGCCCTGATTCTGTGCATCAGGGTCGAAGAGATTAATCAATACTTCGCAGAAAGTGGGGAAAATCTAGCCTTTTGTGAATAAGATTCGGTACAGTAATGCAGAAGGTATACAGTAAGATTTTCTCTTGGAACTTCTTGGGCTTCATTTGAGAATTTAGCCGCGGCTGTCTAAGTTGAATTAGTACAGCTTCAACTCCTTTCTTTCAGATGAACCGTATGTAAAAAAAAACATCATAAAGTAATTATTCTCCAGTTTCTTGCTGAATTATATCAAAAATATACATTCCTCGAATTTTTTCCTGGAAAGTCGTTTTATACAATTTTATTTTCAGGCCGGCCACACAGTCACTGTGTATGAAAGGAATGACAGAATCGGCGGACTGCTTCAATATGGCATTCCCACGATGAAACTGAGCAAGGAAGTGGTGCAGCGCAGGGTCCGCCTCATGGCTGAAGAAGGAATAACCTTCAAGACAAACACGGCCGTTGGCAAAGACATTTCTGGGAAGACTTTGATTGAGGAGAATGACGCCATTGTGGTGTGCACGGGATCCACTTGGCCCAGAGACTTGAACATTCCGGGCAGGGATTTAAAGGGCATCGACTTTGCCATGAATTTCCTGGAAACTTGGCAGAAACACCAGATGGGACACACTGTGGATGCCCAGAGGTTGTCAGCCAAGGACAAGGATGTTGTGGTCATTGGAGGAGGTGACACGGGATGCGATTGTATCGCGACTTCTCTGCGACAGGTTCGTGACTTTATTTGAGAAAAACATCTCTTCATGTTTTTTCAAAGAAGATTTTTTAAAAGGCCATGTGTCTAAAAATAGGGTTTTTAGGCTTTATTTCAAGTCTAAGGCATTTTTTTCTTTCGTCTGCCATGTCTATGAAACAAGTTACCCAAGTAAAATGCAACCTCCCCTGATGTGCAATATAAAAAAAAAACTACGGAATGCATTTAAAATAATCCTAAATCGTCCTAATTTTCTTGAGTCATCAGGTTTGTTTTCTTTGCAAAGCTATTATATGCGAATATTTCTAAGCTTAAGTATACCGAAGTTGCGTTGTAGAACTTATTTTCTTCAAATTTTTATATTATTTATTTTGAACACATGATGCTTCATTTAGGCCGAATGATGTCCAATGTTTGAGAGAAGATGGATGAATATTTGAAACCATTTATTTCCCTCGGACCTTGAAAGAAATTATAAAATATCATGAACTCTGAAACCAATTGTGGATGGAGGAGGTAGTCAGGGTAGTGTCTCTATTTGGAAGATGAGAAATTATTATTATTTAAATATTTTTTTGAAATGATATTATTTTGTGAACTGCAGTAGCTTTTCTCGTAGGTATTCCGCAAAATCGCCTTGATCTTCCATTTTTGAAAAATTCGAACTTCTTTTCCTATTTAGGGTGCCAGAACTATTTCCTCGTTTGAAATTCTACCGACTCCGCCTCCTCATCGCAACAAGGACAACCCGTGGCCCCAATAGTCTTGAGCAGATGTTAAGTCTGGTTTCAGAAGTTTTCCAATACAGTACTATATTTTAGTTCCCTTCCTTTGATCTGGTTGGTTGGATTGAGAAAGTCATTTTTCTTTACAGAGGATTAAATGACTATTTCTGGAAAAAATGTCATAATTTTTGCTAACCCAGGTTTAGTTATAGAGAAAGCACGTAGAGAATTGAGTGTGGTTGATTTTACATTGGATTTTATACACTGAGTGAATCAGGAAGATATCGTTGAGAGCTTAAGCATTTAAAGTGCACTAGAGCACTTGTGTACCTAGTGTACCTCCAGTATTTCGATTTTGTTGGGATTACTTAAAGGAAGTTCCCCACTGCACATGGTTTTTTCTAATACATGTGGACAGATTTCTCAAGGCCACTAATTTCCAGATCCTTCAAGTAGTTTTTACACAAGATGGTTTATCATTGTTCTGATCAGAGACTTCAAAAAATTACTTGCTGGTTGTACAAAAATTACTGATGAATACCATGCTAAGTTGAAGCTGTACTGATGTCTTGTTTCCAATTATTCATTGTCAAGGTGTAAGAAGTTTCTGAATGTTTGTTAGACTCATTAGCCTGCTCAGATGTAAGATGTTCAGAGTAAGGCAGTTTAAGCATCCAATAAACATCTGCTTGAATGTTAGAAGTAACATCATTTCCCATACTTATTCAAGTTACAATTTTGTACAGTATTCTGTTGAATTTCTTTAGGCTCCTGTTCTCTATGAGAATCTCAATGTCTAACAACTGCATTTGTATAAATTCCAGAGTTCACTGGAAGAGTGTGTCCAGCCCCATGCGAAGGAGCTTGTGTGCTGGGAATCAACGAGTTACCAGTTACCATCAAGAACATCGAGTGCGCCATTATTGATCAAGCATTCAAACATGGATTGATGAAACCATGCATCCCGAAAATCAGAACCGGCAAAAATGTCGCCATCATTGGAAGTGGGCCTGCGGGTTTGGCTGCTGCACATCAGCTGAATAAGGTTTGTGGAAATGATAACATACAGTACCACAGACATATTGGCAAGTTTGTACATTTTCTGCTTGTGGAAAAGTAGTTGAGGCCGCATTTTCACTGGTTGAATATTTTCTTATAACAGTCATCATCCATAATAATACCTGTAACAGGCGTAAATAATTCTAAAGGGGAAGAAAGAATTTTCATCAAAGAACATTTGTTTCGTATTTTATTTCAAACCGTAAATTCTGAAACTGATCATAGAGTTTGAAAAACAAACTAATGTTTTCTCGACAAATTTGGGAACATTGGAACGGGCTGAAATGATTTGTAGATTTCAACTCATGTTTGTTTGGCAAATTTTCCAAAACCGACTTTAACAACTTGGTTAGATCTCCATAAAATACTTCATCATGATTGACTCATTAAAATGTCGGTTGAAATAATTTCTGCGACGAATTTTTCAGAACTACCATGCTTTGAACATTTCGTTGTATCGAACTTATTTTAACCTGAAATTTCAGTACACTATTGCTAATTTGTGGCCCTGATTCTGTGCATCAGGGTCGAAGAGATAAATCAATACTTCGAAGAAAGCGAAGAAAATCTAGCCTTTTGTGAGTAAGATTCCGTACAGTAATGCAGAAGGTATACAGTATGATTTTTCTCTTGGAACTTCTTGTTGAATTCTCATTTGAGAATTTAGCAGCGGCTCCTTTCTTTCATATGAACAGTATGTAAGCTACAATATCATGAAGTAATTGTTTTCCAGTTTCTTGCTGAATTATATTCCTCGAATTTGTTTCCTGGAAAGTTTTCTTGTATACAGTGTTTTGAATTTTATTTTCAGGCCGGCCACACAGTCACTGTGTATGAAAGGAATGACAGAATCGGCGGACTGCTTCAATATGGCATTCCCACGATGAAACTGAGCAAGGAAGTGGTGCAGCGCAGAGTCCGCCTCATGGCTGAAGAAGGAATAACCTTCAAGACAAACACGGCCGTTGGCAAGGACATTTCTGGGAAGACTTTGATTGAGGAGAATGACGCCATTGTGGTGTGCACGGGATCCACTTGGCCCAGAGACTTGAACATTCCGGGCAGGGATTTAAAGGGCATCGACTTTGCCATGAATTTCCTGGAAACTTGGCAGAAACACCAGATGGGACATACTGTGGATGCCCAGAGGTTGTCAGCCAAGGACAAGGATGTTGTGGTCATTGGAGGAGGTGACACGGGATGCGATTGTATCGCGACTTCTCTGCGACAGGTTCGTGACTTCATTTGAGGAAAACATCTCTTCATGTTTTTTCAAAGAAGATTTTTTAAAAGGCCATGTGTCTGAAGTAGGGATTTTTAAAGCTTTATTTCGAGTCTAAGGTAAGCTTTTTTTCTCTGCCATGTCTATGAAACAAGCAACCTCCCCTGATGTGCAATGTAAATAAAAACTACGGAATGCATTTAAAATAATCCTAAATCGTCCTAAATTTTCTTGAGTCATCAAGTTTATTTTCTTTGCAAAGCTATTAGATGCGAATATTTCTAAGCTTAAGTTGACCGAAGTTGCGTAGTAGAACTTATTTTCTTCAAACTTTTATATTATTTATTTTGAACGCATGATGCTTCATTTAGGCCAAATGATGATTTATGTGCAATGTTTGAGAGAAGATGGATAAATATTTGAAACCATTTATTTCCCTCGGACCTTGAAAGAAATAATAAAATATCATGAACTCTGAAACCATTTGTGGATGGAAGAGGTAGTCAGGGTAGTGTCTCTATTTGGAAGATGAGAAATTATTATTATCTAAATATTTTTTTGAAAAGATGATTGAAATGTTATTTTTTAGTGAACTGCAGTAGCTTTTCTCGTGGGTACTCCGTAAAATCAGACACGCCTTGATCTTCCATTTTTGAAAAATTCGAACTTCTTTTCCTATTTAGGGTGCCAGAACTATTTCCTCGTTTGAAATTCTACCGACTCCGCCTCCTCATCGCAACAAGGACAACCCGTGGCCCCAATGGCCCAAGGTCTTCAAGAGTGACTATGGCCATGACGAGGTCAAAGTCAAGTTTGGCCGTGACCCCAGGATGTACAACACCCAAAGCAAGGTGATGCTTTTCAACTTCGAAAAGTCTACTTTACGAGCAGCCAAATTAATTATCCTCGTTATTTCTTCTGATTTGCAGGAGTTTGTGGGCGATGAGAACGGGCAACTGTGTGGCATCAAAACGGTGAAGGTGAAGTGGACCCAAGACTCGGAGACGGGCAAGTGGGACATGATGGAAGTCCCCGACTCTGAAAGTTTTATCAAAGCTGACATGGTGCTACTTGCTATGGGATTCCTTGGACCCGAATCTCACATAATTACGGACATGGGTATGGAGAAGGACGCACGCTCGAATATTAAGACCCCTCCTGGGAAATACCGGACTTCTGTGGACAAAGTCTTCGCTGCTGGAGGTCGGTACAACTAACTGGTTTATAAAACTGCAAATTGCTGCACTTAATTTACCAATATCTGGTCAAGGTTGGCCCTAAATTTCAGTGTACTAGTGTAAATTAAAACTTATTAAGTTACAATTTAAGTGCATTTAAATGTAACAAAAGTTAACTTTTAAATTACTGTATATTTCATTGGAGGATGTTTGCACTGAGGGTATTTGGTACAAGATATGAAAATTAGAAAAGATTTGTTGAGATGAAATATTCGGCACAAATTGCGGGTGCCACCAAATAAAAGAAAGTAGATCCTGTCATTCATTCAATGATTTTAAAATGACAAATTGGCAAACTTTTCTGTGAAGCTTGGATTATGTTTTGAAACTTATTATTTTGGAAAGTGCATTTAATTAATGAATAATAAATTCATCTTTTCAGCAAGGAGTGGGGAGGGTGGGAACCAGTGAGCCAAACAAGTAGTGCCGGATGTTGGACGCCATTTTTATGGCTATTTGTGTACCAAATTGTGCCAGACCATTAGGTCCACCATTCTTTCATATTTATTGGCTTCAGGGGAAGATGAATGAAAAGGGACAACTTATTTAATGCATGGGGCAGAATATAATATTGCCCTTCAATTTAATGAAGAAAGATGGTGGACTTGGATCTGGCACAATTTGGTACGACCCAACATTCGGCTCTACTTGTTTGGCTCACTGGAATGTTCTTTACCAAGAGAAAGTAGATTGACAAATTTTCAAAGAATATCATTCAGACTACAATTGAATTCAAATACAACCTGCATTTGTAATTAAGACAAACTTTTTTTGCTTATCAATGTTTTATTTGATGTAAATAATCTTCAAATTACAACAATTATTCTCCATTAGCTGACGCTTGACCTTAGGTATTTTATAATGTAGCCTGTGCAATTGTAGGTAAATCCAATTTTATAATTAATAACTTTCAAGTTTCAGTGAGATTTTCCATTCATGTCACGGGCTATTGACATTTTTTCAGGCCATACAACGATTAGAAAATTCTTGTTGTTTCTAGCATGAACTTTCCTACATCTTGTGTGATTCTAAATTTTTTTAAATGTTGTATTTTTGCAAGAGTTCAATTTCTTATTTCCTCTTCAAAACACATCATCCAATTAGCCTGGGATATTTTTCTTACAATAAAATTTTATGAGTCTGAAAGCAGGATAAGAAGAGTCTGCCCAAGTCGGATAATTTCCGTTTGCGCAGATTTCGCTCCTCATCCCATTTCCCTTTGTTTTACTTTCTTCCAGTTGAAAATAAAAAATATAAATGGAAGTTGTGAAATTTCAACGTAATGGAAAAAGTAGATGATGATTTTTTAAGAGGAAATAAAAAATTTAAAATGAACCTTTGCTCTTGGAAAGATGCAAAATGATCATTTAAAAAATTTAGAATCACACAAAATGTAGGAAAGTTCATGCTAGGAACAACATGAACATTTTCTATTTGTTCTATGGCCTGAAAAAGTTTCAATAGCCCGTGATATGAATGAAAAAAGCTCATTGAAAAATTTGCAGTAAATCTATTTTTTTTTCTGAAAAAGTTCCAGAACATTACAATTGCAGCACGAACTAACATCACACGAATTTTTCAACAACGATATCTCATCTAAAAAAATGTATGTTCAGAAAATCTTAGATCTTTGTAAAATAATTGCTTCAACTGCAAAATAAGTAATTTCAAGTGAAGGCACTTAGCCTCTGAAGTTGCATTTCAATATGTCTGAAAAATTTCTTCCCACCAACTGAATCGCTAGAAAAATGTTTCAAGAATGTATCTTCTATATAGATACGTAAGCTTTTAAGGAATTGTCTCTACCTGTTTGTTCATCATTGTTGATGCAGATTGCCGTCGAGGTCAGAGTTTGGTGGTTTGGGCTATCACGGAAGGACGTCAGGCTGCAAGGGAAGCGGACGAGTATCTGATGGGCATCACATCTCTGCCTGGACCTGGAGGAGTGATTCAGTTCCACCATCCACAGGGTTGAATCAAAGTGCCCCTGAATCATTCGAATTTTGCATTCTCAACCTCCGAGGTCAAGATCAGTTCCAACTGGTTCGTCAAGTTCTTTCAACTGGGCATTTGTTGTTTTCCCCGAGGAGAAGAACCGCTTGTGTTCCGGGAATTTTGGTTTCTTGAGTTTGACTCGCACAATGAAGATTGTGGTTGTTGAAAAAAAAAATTGCATCTCACCCAAGCTATGTCAAATTTTACGTTTAAATTTTTTGAAACTTTTCATCTTACTCTTTTTTCGCTTTAATCATGTCTCACTCACATCTTGGCGCTTTTTTGTCGAGGGAATCTCTGAAAGAAGCTACCACTAAATTATTGCAAAAACAAAATTTCGACGGAAGTATGTCGCGTTTATTGTTGAGACAAAATTGAAACATTTTGAGGATGAACTGAACCGCTTGATCCCATCGTTGCCCCAGCATCTGAAACGAGTCATCATCAATCAAAAATATTTCGGGGGTCGAAGATCAAAGGAACGGAAGACGGACATTCCACTGGTAGAACAATGATGGAATTGTATGGGGAGGGTTTACCACGAAAAAAAAAAACATTTAGTCGCTCGTATTTTTCGTTCAAGGCAGTGAACCTGGTTTTAACTGAATTGATTGGAGTATTTATGTATCAAGGAACAAAATGAAAGAAGGGATGAAACGGACATTTTGTGGGAAAAAATTCAAGTTTTGCTCTGGACGGAATAGTGAGATTCACGGGCTTCCACGCGGTTTTACTAAAATTCGACCAGATCTTGTATACCTCGTTTCCAAACCCCCCTTTAGAGCGGATCGAAAAATTCTCGGAACTTTTTCGTTTGCCCTCTTCCGCGTCCGTTGGCACAAGATTATGAGACATTTTAATCGCGTTTAGAAATTCTTGAATGTTGGAATTTTGAAATATCTCTAAATGTTATTCAGTAGGGAAGGCGAGTGATCACAAGTTAGCTTATCAGTGCCTGTGATCAGCGATTGGAGCGGATCGGGGAAAAAGAAGGTGATCTTCTCCCGGTTCACCAACGAGTGAATCTAGGTTTTTCCAACATTTCGATGCAGTTCATTCGTGAGAAATTCGAAAAAGACAGCTTTCGGGTCGCAATACTTATCCTGACTAACTAACTAATAGTAGACTATGCATCCAAACTACAGCCCTTCACCTTCGTAATATCGCCTTACGTCATGTAACTATGTTATTTTAGCGCTACGCTAACGGTAAGCAATAAAAAATTCTCACTGATATTTTATCTTAAAAGGGAATTATTTTTTGTTTACCATTCACAATAGAATGTCGACTAAAAAATTAAACACCTTATATGATGCATAACAATTATATTATCACCCAAAAATGTGTCATGATTTACAATATTGTACCAACAATTCAACCACACCCAATCCAATACATTACTGTGCAGTAGATAAACGATAGTTTCAGCCAAGTAGGAATGAATATGTTACTTTCAGTCTGTTTTGGAAAAGCATGAACTTCAAAGTTTGATCAATAAGTTTCGTCAGTCTTTGGATGGATACATTCTGTTACAGACTGACCTTTTTCAAACAATTATTTAATTTTCAGCTTATGTTGAGTAAGAATCATCCAAAAATAGTAAAAACCAGTAGGAATTCAGCCTAACTTAAAATGGGAAGAATTCAGGATCCCAAATTCGCCCCTTTCCTGTAAGGATATATGATGCATATATTCAGTTAACGAATCACATTTGCCAGTGCAGTACTATGAATTTCAGTAATACAAATAGAAAAATTGTCCCATGGATACACTTGAGTAATTTTTTACATAGTCGCATGAAATTGTTGATATTGATCGAATAGCGACTACAGCAATTTATCACGAAGATCTAGATAACTTCGGGCACCAACCTGACAGAACGTGTGAACCATGCCTTGAGCAAGCCTATAGTATGTAATTTGATTTTCAGTGCGCTTTAATTGGTTAAATGGTGACGTGTCATTGCAGAACCTGAGGAATTTCTGAGTTACGTACGTATTTTATGTCATGTCGTGTGTGAACTAAACTACTGCGTTCAGGTTACTGCCCCCACTGCTGTTGTTCAGCATGCCTCATTTGAAACTGCTGCTGCATATGAACAGGATGCCCCTGTTGCTGGCCTGGATGTCCCTGCTGCACAGGATGACCTTGTCCAGGGTGGCCCTGCTGGCCTGGGTGACCCTGCCCAGGATGTCCTTGTCCAGGGTGTCCTTGCTGAAGTCCACCTTGTCCTGGATGCCCCTGTTGGCCAGGATGACCTTGTCCAGGATGCACCTGCTGATGGCCCTGATGCTGCTGTTGATGTTGCTGAGGATGTTGTTGGTGTTGTTGAGGATGTCCTCCACCGCCTCCACTTGACACTGGTTGTCCCTGATGATGCTGAGGGGGAGCAAACCTGTGGAAACCATAAAATTCATCAATATTGCTAGCTGCTCAGCAATTTCTGCCTCTTTAACTTGAGCATAGCCTTTGATAAAAAGGAATCTTGACTGATTTTTTAAGAGTACAGTTGTGTACATACTCAAGTACTAAAGCACATATTTTTTCAAGAAATATATCTAATTTTTAATGAAGACATTTCCCCCTACCCTACATTTTTTCAGAGTTTTCTTTTTAATGACTTTGATTACAGTACAATTCAAACAAAAAAGCTCAGTTAAAATTAAATTCAATTTCCAAGTAAGCTTGACTTTAAATTCTTACCCTATGTGATTTGAAAAATATAAATTTTGGGAACTGAAAATGTTGTAAACTAAGGTGCACATCTTGACAAAGGGATGTGATTACTGTATTATAAAAAATTTAGTTACAAATCTTATTCTCAGGCGCGTGGTATTCAAGTAAATACAGTACAGCAAAAGTTTATGGGTGATCAGCCCCCAAAACTTTCAAGAAACCCCATGAAATGGCACACTGCTTAAGCACTGAGAAATATCTGCACATGAAAACCAATTCCTATAATTCTTGTACTATTCAAGGAGGAAAATGATTTGTACGTCATTAAGTTACAAAGGAAATTGAAAATACGTTGATCAATTAAATCAACATTCTAAAACACGCGCCATGAAAATAATTTTTAAAAAAAGGTGAAGACTAACCTTGCACGTTTCGCAGCAGATACAGAATCGCTCGTCGGCGGCGCACTGTGTCCTCCAGCCTGGCTCTGATTTTGCTGCAAAAAATTGGCCTAAATCCTCTCAACAGTCGTACGCAATGTCCAGAGACTCAAAACGCAATCACTTCTGTACGTCAAATATCTCCCAGAGAAAACCAGACGCTTTTCCATTTCGCTTCACCGACACAATTAAGCCGTCGCACGATTGTACCACAAAGGGGCATTGCCAACCGAATGACTGCAAGTCGCTTTCAAATTGGCGCGGAAAACCACTAACCTTTGCTCTTTTGGCTGCTTCCGACTTTTCGTCAGGGCCATCATCGTCCGTGAGGAATTCTCGCTTCGGATAAGGGATTGTGCATCCGGCAAAAACACTAAGAACAATTTTACGGTCAACTAAGACATGCAAAAGTTTTTTTTTTTAACACTAAAACGGAAAGAAGAAGGCGAACAACAACATTCAAGCCATGATTGACTTGAATGGAGTGATCGTGGAATACAAAAATAAAATTCGGAAGATATGGAATTATCCAGAACGTTCTATCCAATGCTCATATCTTCCCTCCTATCGTTCGAAATAACGCGGGTTATTTCATTCAACAGCGTGTTGACATCAGACAATAATTTGAATTTATGACATTGACCACACCTCCAAGTGATGAGGAACTCGGAATGGAATGAAACAGAAATCAATCATGCGTCTACTAGAAATACTTATCAATGTACAGTATTACCAAGGAATGCTACCGAGCTTTAGGGGTTTCAAAGACGGAAATTTGCAATAGGAATATTTTTCCTGAAAATGTTCAATTATTCATGTCCAGCACTTGAATTGTCAGAAGTCAATTTTGTATTTGACGCTATGTTCAAGCGTAAAGTAGTACTCTATGACATGTTCATGACGCTATTTTATTTTATTTTTATACGCAACCTAAAATTTGCATGATAGGCTTTCTACACGTCACTGTCATTAACTACATCAAAACTATAACTACAAAATACAAGCACGAAATACTGGAGACAAAATTCAGACCTGAATGCCGAAAACTTTTAAAAAATCCGAACTTGTTTCAAAAATTAAGCGCCAAAACTGGCGGTGATTCATAAAAATATTTTTAAATGTGAAGAGCTGTGTAAGTGTCCAAGAATTTTTTTTTTCACACGTGCTAGGGTAATTCTTGCCAGGATTCCAAGCACTTACTCCTCAGTAGGTAAAGGATCCTCCTTGAAATATAGATCCATCATGGCCTGCTCCGACGTGATCCTCTTATTGGGGTCCATCATGAGGAGCTTCTGGAGCAAGCTGAAGGCCTTCGTGTCGGGCTTGATCTTGTGCCTGTCCATGTACTTGATGAGAGAGCAACTCTGATAACTGGCCTTTTTGAAGTCCTTCATCAACTTGTCATGATCCGGCATTTTCTTGATGTCTTCCCATTCGCGTTCCTGTGGGAATCCCATCACACTGAAGATCCTGTCCAGTTGGTCGTGATGGTAAGGATTCGACGTTTTGATGTCTTCTTGTCGACAGTGGAAAATCGGCTCTGACGTCAGCAGTTCCGCAAAAATGCAGCCTATGGCCCAAATATCTGCCAAAATAAAAGTTCCATCAATCAATTTCTGGAGTCCTTGGGTTTCTGCACGTTCAGCTTCAATACGTAAAAAACAATTGTGGATGCCGGAGAAATAAAATTTTACTTTCAAATTGCGTTCGTGACTTAAATTGTTTGTGGTACTACTCAGGCTTTCTTGTTTTTTATGTAAAATCCATCCAGCAAAAATTACCACACTGGAGTTTTACATTCGAATTAAAATTGAGTTTCCGACAAATCAGGACGAATAAAAAGTAAGATTATAATTATAAATTTCGGAGGAAATTATTGTAGTCCACTTCTCATGGGAGTCTCAAATGTCGTAACGAAAAAAAGACTGATCATCTCCAATGGGTGGATTTATGTGTACAAATTAAATCCACATTTATCCATCCAGAACTGAAAAAAAAAACGAAGAAGCAAAAGCTTAGCAAGA